TAGTGAGACTTGTGAAGTCAAGGGAACTCACTCTTCTTGTATTAGTATTATATTTATACTGTTATCTTGAGTGATGTCCCTTACATGTTTATAAAGATATGTGTCTCTCGTCACTTCCGTCCTCTCTCTTACCATCATGTAGTTGAAGGCCCAATAAACGTTTTATATACAACCACATGCTTCTATCGTCAATCTATTATATCTGGCGACGAGGATAAATAATCCACTAGAAAGAGCACCTACTTACTCAAAAAGAGGTTTGCTAGAGCATATTGGCTAAGTATTTCTAGAATAATGGCGCTGTATGGCCAAATAAAAGAATTTGATTCGAATGATGAAATCATTCAGGATTACCTAGATAGGTTAAGCTTTTACCTTGAAGCAAACAACGTGACGATAGAAGCCAAAAAGAGAGCTGTTTTGTTAACAGTCATAGGGTCTCAACAATTTAGGCTACTAAAGGACTTATGCGCACCAGCTAGTCTAACTACCAAGAGCTTTAAGGGGGCAGTATCACCCAGAAATTTGAAAATTGACGAAAAAATTTGCCAAAAAAAAACTATTATACATACACACATAAATCTTTTACCATAATAGTAAATAGCAAGGAGCTATAAAACAGCACATAAAAGAAAGTTAACGTATCGATGCAAACATTTTTTATAAATAATTTTACCAAAAAATGTTTACTAAGTAATTTTTGGCTGCGGTTTTCCAACATTTAGGCCCTTCCTTCTGAAAATACTCTAGGAGATGCATAACAGGGTAGCGTATGTCCGGGGCTAGGAGATATCCATTGTGACAAATTTTGAAAATTTTAGATTTTTCAAAGTCAGACCAAAATAATTGAACTTTGAAATTTCCTAAAAAATTTATCTCTCAATACAATACTATTATCTTAGTCCCGGACGTAGCCAATAACGCAAGGAAGGTTTATACCAAATTTTAAGTACTTTACTTATGGTTTCGAAAAAATGTTTACAAAAAATTAAAAATGTGATAAAATATGAACAAAATAATTTTTTGACAATTTTTTGCCATACATATACCCTACAATTTATATACTGTATTATAGCAGAAGAAACGTTACTATTGCTGTAAAAATTTGACATGTGTATGTCAAATAGTTTTTTTTTGTGATAGTTTTTGTTTCCCTCCCTTAGTCTGGGTGATACTGCCCCTTAACGAGCTGAGCAAATTGCTAACAGACCACCATGCGCCTACCCCATCAAAGTTTCTATGTCGAGCTAGATTTGACGGTAGGACTCGTCAACCAAACGAGTCAATATCAGAATATGTTGCTGCTTTACGTCATTTAAGTGAATTTTGTGAATTTGGCGATACGCTGTCTGACAGACTATGTGAAAAGTTTGTGACAGGTGTAAACAGCCCTGATGTTCAAAGAAAGTTGCTGCTCGAGTCAGATCTAACATTGGAAAAAGCAATACAACTAGCAACTTCATTCCAGCAGTCATCCGAAGCGGCGAGATCTCTAGCACCTTCAGAGATCCATGCAGTAAACAGCAGGTTGGTCAACAAACACCAACCCCATCAGAGCATTCCAACTTATGCTAAACAGCCTGCACGTTTAAAGCCTAGATCTAAATCTAGTAATAATTATCAAAAATGTCATCGATGCAAAGGTCCCCATGCATCTCATCGATGCAAGTTCAAGTTAGCAACTTGTTATAAGTGCAGTAAGCAAGGTCACATTGCTAAGGCCTGCTTTGCAAAGTCTTCGTCTGTTGCTAAATCTAGCCAGTCAAGACAGTACCGCAACCAAAGGCAGCACTATGTTAACTCTCACCAAGACTACCTAACCCAACCAATGAACCACTCTACCTGTGAAAATGCTCAAATTGATTTGCAGCCGGATTTCAACCTGTTCTCTGTGAAATCAATAAGTCATGCTCCCATCAATGTACTAGTTAATATCAACGGTAAGAGCATCAGCTTCCAACTTGACACTGGAGCATCTCTAACAGTCATCACAAAGAAGGACTTTGACGCTGTCACAGGAGGATCAGTGCCTCTACAACCATGTCACAAGTGTCTAACAACATACACTGGTGACAATGTTCCGGTAATAGGAGAGTGTATGGTTCATGTAAGTTATAATGGTCAAAGTGTTAAACTTCCTATGCTTGTGGTTGAAGGAAATGGACCACCATTACTAGGTAGGAACTGGTTAAGTGATCTTAAGTTAAATTGGGAGAGTATATGTTCATTGAACATTGCAAGAGAATCTAGTCTTACTTCAATAAATAAAGTAATATCTGAAAATAAAAGGGTTTTTGGCAATTCAGGTTTACTAAATGATAGAACAGTGAAGATAAGCATTAAAGACACAAATCCAAGATACTGCAAAGCTAGAGTTCCACCTTATGCAATGAGGAATAAAATTGAAAATGAGCTAAGTAGATTGGAATCTAATGGCATCATAAAGAAGGTAGACTATTCCGATTGGGCAACGCCCATTGTGCCAGTGTTAAAGAAGGATGGTTCTATAAGAATTTGTGGAGACTATAAAACTACACTGAATAAGCAAATAGAGCTAAATAGGTACCCTATACCTAACATTGAGGAGATTTCTTTGAATTTGGCAGGAGGAGACAAATTCACTGAATTAGACTTTAGTCATGCTTACACTCAACTAGAACTGCATCCAGATTCAAAAGTCTATACGACAATAAACACACATAAAGGACTCTACCAATATGAAAGACTATGTTTTGGCATATCATCCAGCCCTGGAATTTTCCAGGCTGTCATGGACAGTATTTTTAAGGATATTCCAAATGTTTGTGTTTATTTTGACAATGTATACATAACTGGTAAGAATGACACTGAACATCTTAAAACACTTGATAAAGTCTTGAAAATAATTGGTGAAAAAGGTTTAAAGATAAACAAAGATAAATGTCAATTCATGTTGACAGAAATTAGTTTTCTTGGTTATATATTAAGCAAGCAAGGTATCAGACATCAACCTGAGAAAACAAAAGCCATTAAAGAAGCACCCAAACCTGAAAATACCCAACAACTAAGAGCTTTTTTGGGCTTGATAAATTACTATGCAAAGTTCATAGGGAATCTGTCTGGTAAACTATCACCACTGTACAAGCTGCTACAGAAAAATGCAACTTGGCACTGGGGTAAACAACAAGATACTGCTTTTAATACAGCAAAAGAGGCTTTGTCTTCTGACACCTTACTAACTCACTATGACCCAGGGAAAAGACTTATATTAACATGTGATGCTTCACCAGATGGTGTTGGAGCAGTCTTGTCCCACATGGATGAGAAGGGTGACAGACCCATTGCTTTTGCCAGTAGATCTTTGAACCAGGCTGAGAAAAATTATTCTCAGTTAGATAGGGAAGGCTTAGGCATCATTTATGGTGTCAAGAAATTTCATAAGTTTCTGTTTGGTAGGAAGTTCACCATCTTTACAGATCATAAACCATTGCTACGTTTATTTGGAGAAAACAAAACCCTACCTGAGCATGCCTCACCAAGAATTCAAAGATGGGCTATCACACTAGCCGCATACAATTATGAATTGAAATACAAACCTGGATCTGAGAATAGTGCAGATAGTCTTAGTAGATTACCTTTAAAAAACCAAAGCCTTAGTTATGTACCAGAAGAAGTATTTGTTCTCTTCACTATCATGGATAACTCCAATATAAATGTGAATGATATTAAGAGAGAAACACAAAAAGATGAGTGCTTAATAAAAGTATATGAGTACTGTAAGAATGGTTGGCCTGAAGAGTCAGTGAATGATGACTTAAGGCCATATAAAATAAGAAATAAAAACCTTTGTGAAGATAATATAAAAGATGGAGAAGATGCAGTCCATTATCAGTCAGAGTTGCCTAAACAAAGTATTTGTAACTTAATAAATGATTATGGTGATATGGCAATTTCAAATGTTTTAAAGAGAATACATTAGTAAGAAGGAATGTGATCATCAAACAACTTTGCTAACATCATTAGCACTTACAGAAACTAATAGGGTAACATCAAAAGAAAATAGATTTTTGCATTCAATACACCCACTTGAAATACTGGATCACAGTGCAAATTGATATGGTCCAGGATAGTACTTTTAAACAGTATTTTTGGTTACTAAAAAGCACTATCAGATTACCTGAGAAAATTGATCAATCAAAGAAATCTATGTCAGTTAAGGATCTGAATAATAGCATAATACTTTCAGATGCCAATTCAAAAATAGTTCCATTAAATCATGACAAGACATCCATTGAAAGAGAATTTGCAGTTAATGATAATGTGTATCTGAGAAATTATGGGAGAAAGGAAAAATGGATACCAGGTCAAATTGTTCAATGTACAGGACCTGTGTCTTATAAAGTAAAAACAAATGATGGACTTATTGTCCGTAGACATGCAGACCAGTTAAAAATAACTTGTGCAGATAATAAGTGTGAATCTGTCAATCCCACCAAATCTGAACAGTTCAGTTTGTTCCACAACCAAGTTCTGTTGATATGAGTGAACCAAGTAGTCGGGAGTCAGAAAATGTAAATTCTGGAGTTAATGATTTAAATCCTAGACCTCCTGAGATAGAGAATCCAGATGGTCAGAATCTTGAGTCACCAAATCAAAAGCCACTGAGAAGGTCAAGCAGGACAATCAAAGTCCCAAATAAGTTAGACCTATGATTTTAAAGGTCAAAAGGACTTTGACATCATTGTTTTGTATTTTAATTATGTTGTAACATATTGTGCATTGTTTGTAAGGATGTAATCTACCATAGTGTTCATGTTACAATATAATTGGTGATTTTAGGATACTGTAAATTGTTCTATTGAGAGATGTGTTGTGTTCACTAAGGGTAAAGGGATGTAATATAGTGAGACTTGTGAAGTCAAGGGAACTCACTCTTCTTGTATTAGTATTATATTTATACTGTTATCTTGAGTGATGTCCCTTACATGTATATAAATAATTGTCTCTCGTCACTTCCGTCCTCTCTCTTACCATCATGTAGTTGAAGGCCCAATCAACGTTTTATATACAACCACATGCTTCTATCGTCAATCTATTATATTGATATACCGATCACTTTTAAGTCACCGCAGGCAAATAGGTAAGTCATTTTAACTTTTTGGATATGAACATTTTAAAATATAGAAAACCCCGTTTTTATAACTCTTTTATATGCACTAAAAAGAAGAAATTAAGTGGTGTTCTTTAAAAATAATAACGAACCACTATTTAAATAACTGAAAAGAAAATAGTGGTCGCATATAAAATTTTAGTACGGGTATTTGATAATCATTTATAATAAATATAGCGACCAACGTTTTTCTATTACAGTAGTGGTGCATTATTTTATTTTCTAAGAAATCATTTTTATACTCTCTTAGTACATAGGTAAAGTAAAAGTTGTTATTATATTGGAAACGTTTTTATTACACATAGTTTTAAAAAATGCAATTTAATAGTTTAAAAAAATTAGTGCGTTTTCGGTTGTGGGTAAAACCGCGACATCTTCTGCTAAAAAGATACATAAAGAATGGCTGGTTAAATTGATATTAAAAGAAAAGAAAAAGAAGCCAAAACTAAAATCAATGCATAGGCCTAATTAATAATGTAAATCTATTTAAACCTATTATTTTATATATAGAATCTAGTTTTAACTTCATATGTTGTACATAGTCTAATAAGTTATATAATAATTGACTTTACGACTACGGTTAACTAATAAATTAATTAATAATTAATAATTATAGGCCCCCTAGGCCTATGTTATGTATGTAGACCTAGTATGTAATTTAACAAATTATTATTAAGATTTACATCTTAGTTACTAGATTTAGATCTAGATCTAGAATCTAGTTAGATTTCTAGATCTATAGACGTGGTTCAAGTCGTCAGTCACTAGACTAGATCTAGATCTAGATCTAGACCTCTATCTGAAGTATGTGACTGTTCAACATCAATTGTCATCAACACATGAATTTAACACTAAAGTTTTCAGGGTGTTAACTTCAGGTCTATTATTATGTAGGCTAATAAAATGTATTATATTAAGTAGGCTTATAAGTTTGATAACTACTGGTAGTAATCTCAAATGTAAGGGAAATGTTAACTCTGAGTCTTAGTTTTAGTGTCTAGATAATATAGACTATAGACTCTAGTATGTGATTGGTAAAAATAAACTATTTGTATTTTAAATAGGCTAATATTTTTAAAGACCATTTGCATTCAATTGTACTTTCAGAATCAAGTCATTACATTGATTACAAACATACATTAACAAGAATATGTAGCCTAGCATTTACTCTCTCACTCTAACTTTAATATTAATAAACTTATAACTATTTGCAATAAAGTATAAACTGAATAGGCTTAGGCCCTATACTATATATTACTATATAATATTATACAGCCTATTTAGAATCTAATTGCAATTTCTTAACTCTTTGGGCTTGACTTAGTTGGTTTAAATATCTTCTACACAATATACACTATACACTAAACAAAACACTATTTGTCAGTGTGATGATGCAATGTTAGGCAAGTATAGAAGTAGATCAGACAGAAAGGAACAAAATGTAGAAGTTAGGAAATAGCCTTAGGTCAAGCAGTTGAGAATAGGTAGGAGTCAATAAGAACTTATTTAGATTCAAATTCAAGATGATGACTGGTCAAATGTGACTGTCAGCTGATCAAGCGTCATGAGTTAGTAGTTGTTTTAGAGTTCTGTAGTTGGTCGAAGATAGCGTAGTTGATTGGTTTAGTTCTTTAGGAGAAAGTTGAATGTTAGAAGTTAAGAAGGCTGTTGGAGTTAGGGTTAGGAATAGTTTGTTGTGTTAAAAAATATATTCTCTAATATATATGTCTGTGAATTATTAATAATTTCACATACTGGTCAATCCCTTAACCCGAGATAGAGTCAAGTTACAATCAGTGATAAATAAAAATATCTTTCCCTCTCTCACAACACTCATTTATGTCTACATTGCATTTAAAAAAGATGTTTACTACACATCTCATTAGCAGCACTTGAACATGTTGTACTAAGTCCTTCAAGTAGTTCAGTTTGTGGCTAGACTTCTAGTAAAAATTCTGAAACTAAAAAGAAGTTGAATCAATTACAGGTGTCTTGTAAAATTTTTGTATAGTAGACATTATTATCAACAATTATATAGTGGTGTTAAATTGAAGATTGAATGAATACATGGTGTAAATTTACATCATAATATATTTTATTCTCATTGAATGAATAACAGCATGAATCATAAAGCAATTTTTTTCAATTACAGGACCATATGGTAAATAACTCTGGCGATCTAAAATTATCCCATTTGAGATGAAACTTTAATGAGTTAAAAATTAGTAATTCCATTTTATTAGGGGCCTAGTAAAAGTTTTACTAATAAAATGGAATTACAAAAATGTCAAATTTTAGTTTCAGGATTGGTAAAATTTTGGGATTCATTTTCAGGATTCACTTAAAAAATGAGTGGCACCCATGTAAAACATTTCTTTAAACATATTTCATAAAACATAAACTTTCTTCTAAGGTTTTGAAACAGCAGTGAAGAAATTAACATATTTCAACAGCATAGGAAAGACACAGACCAATTGAATTATCATACAAATTGTATCATTGACCCCAACCAATGGAGCATTATAGGCCAGGTAACATCATGTAAACATACAAACAATGCCAGGTTTTGCTATTGGGGGATATACAATTGCATTGCAAAATTTTAATACTTATTTTAAAATACTATTTTAAAAAGCCTTTTTCTTAAGCTATCAAATAATTTATTTCTAAAAATAAATATATCGTTTAATACAAATTTAACTTTTATCCTTGTTTACAGTAAGCGTAAGTGTTTCTAAAGGCTCTTCTGTTATTGTCTACACTATCGCTGAAGAGTTCTTGGGGCATGGACATAAGTATAATTTTCAGATAGTTAATGTGGACGAGTAAGTCAATTCTGCTAAATTCTTTACTTTAAATTATTATAATGACATTTTTTCTTGATCTTCATTAGTTTTCAAGATGTTATTTTAATACATTGTTTAGTAATTCTTTAATATTTCTATTAGTTAAAGCTAGTATTTTTTAAACCAATATTGCTAACACATGTAATATATGTACTTAAGCCTGAAATTACACTAATCTCACGTTAGAGTAAAAACAGTTTGTTTAAAATGTCAAAAAATAATATCACTGATTTGAAAAAAATATTTCATAAATATTTATTCACCTGTAATTAATATTTTAATATTCTTGGTGAGAATTCCTAGTCATGTTTTATTCACAGTTGAAATGTTTTATATTTCGTTTTAGAAAACAACAAAAAATGGTGTTTGAAATATGCTTGGATGGTGTGGTCAAAGCAAAAAATGAATCCTCTCCCTTCCCAACTAAAGCTTTTAAAAAGGTCAGTAAACATAGTAAACATTAGAACCCTGCACTTATGGTCATTTAAAATTATTTTTTCAAAGATTAGGATCAGTGGAAACACACTGGTAAAAGTATATATTTTCTAAATAGATTCCATTTCAACACAATTTGTCAGTTAACAACATACTTAAATAAATACATTATTGGTATTTAAAATATTAAAAATTGTTGTTCATTATGCTTGTGAACAAATGATTATTTCAATCTATTAATGTGCTGTGTATATTTATTGTTTAGAAACGTGAAGGCAAAGAGGGAGAATACTATAAAGTTACGCTGAAATGCAAGAAAGCTCAGGAGATTGTGGACTACTTTCCACAACCACAAAAGACATTTTGAGAATTTTCTTGCATGGGCTTTATCTAAACAGTATCTTGTATTTATTTTGCTGTTAAGTGCAATAATTTTAAAATTGCAAACATTAAAATCGTTACTATTTTTTAAAATAAATTCCTCTTTATAGGATAAACATATCTTGGTTATTGTAAATCTAACTCCACTGAGCTTAACAGTCAAAGTGTATTAAGTAATTAAATTTGGCTTAATTCACATAGTGTCAGTTTTTAAAAAAGAGTAGTATTTTTACAAAATGTTACATTTCACAAATGTTTTGATATCACTTTTGTTTATAAGTTTACAAAATTCTTTTTAAGTGGATAACATTAAAAATATCTAGAAATATTTTATGCAAATTAAAAACTTCATTGTTTGGCTTTACAATAAATTTATGTGTAAATAAATGTTAACATAAATTTTTTAATTTTACATTTTTTGTACTACACATAATAAAAACGTGTATTTTCACACTAAATTACTATTTCTTTTAAAATGTCTATACTTTTAGCACAATTTGATTGTATAGAGGATAAATCCAGTTTGTCACAAAAAATTATATCTTGAGAAAAATAAGCATTTAATTTTCACACCTCTAATAAGAATGTGCCAAGTTATATTACTTATATTGTAGAAAATTTGTTTAAATTTACATTTTAGTTTTTAGAATTTTACAGCTCCTTTTTGCCTTATTGCCAATACGAATAAGCCTACTAAGCACATTGGTTTCACCATAAACTGGACATATTTAATTTTTGCTTTACTGTTTTTTGATTTGAACAGTTGAAGGCTTTTTATTGCATTCTGTTATTCTATGTTTCTAGACATTTTTAAAAATAATTATAGGATGGCATTGACTTTATATTTTACTGTTGTAGATTATGTGTTTAGAAAGGTGGATAGAAAAACCAATTCAGGTATATCAGAGGCTTGATTTGTTTTAAATCGTGCATCAGGGAATGTGTTCTAATTAAACAGATCATTTAAATAGTTCACCAACAGCACTATATGTTAAATGTTTGATCTGAGGCATTTAATTTTACAAGCTGGCTAGTCGTATGTTTTTCTCAGCAGCATAAGTCTTATATTTAGAGAAATGATCTGCACTCATCCATTCAAATAGCCATCAAGGCTGTGAAGCCAGTGGCTCTATGCTGTAGTGTACCCCATTTTTGGGACTAATTAGCAAGTGTTTGCTCGAAATTAAAAGCTTTAATTTATGATTTGCTAAAAATTTATTATTAATAAATATTTATATATATTATTTGAGACTTTATTTAAGCTACTATATATTATACACAAATATCTTTTTATGTAAAGTGTAATGTAAAAGTTTTCTTTTGTGTGGTTTTTTAACCGTTTAGTTTTCTTAAGTGTAGTTTTTTTTTAAAAAATGCATGACCTCCTGTTTTTTGTCTAAAAAATTAATTATTATTTTTTATCTTTAACATATCTCTCTAGTTAAAAATTCATGAGTCGTATAAAATAATAGTTAATTTAAAACTCCCAAATATGAACAACTACTTCTGTGATGTTATACAAATTATACATTTTTAAATTTGTATCACTTAGAATTTTTTTCATTTTTGTTATGCTCATCTGTAAGTTATTATTAGCTTTTTGGTTAATCAATTGTACACATTTTGTTACTTAATACTTAAAACAATATAGAATGAAAAATAAATAAATGGAACTTTGAAAATAAATCAAATAATAGCTTTAACCAATTCTTGTCATTTGATTGGATTAATTATGGTCGGTCAGTTCATCTTTCAGGTTAGCCATAGCCCCACCATAATATCACTTGATGTGTGTATAAAAATTAACATCACAGCCATAAACCTACCCTGGTGGTCTAGTACAGGTTAGCTAGCAGTAAAAAAAAACTTACATGAGTTACATCAATCAGCCATCTTGCTCTGCTTCACTCCTCTTCCACCCACCACTGGACCTATGATAAGACAATTACAGATGTATTTTAAAATATTTTCCTATATTACTGATATCACTGTACTGGTTTTAAAGCCTGCGATTAGATAAATAAGGGTAAGGATTTATTGTCTAGTATTGTAAAAAAGCTGCCTGACTTCTAACCTACTGTTGTGTGTCAGCAATTCCTTCTGCTCCTGCTCTTAGCATGACTGTAGTGTCATTTCAACAGCTCCAATATGACATGCCTACACCTGCACAGCAACAACTCTAAAGTAGTTAATCCAACAACTTTGAATTTTCATGCCAGCTGTTCCATAGTATACAGTCATAAAACATATTGTAACACCAAAAGCTGTAAGCTATCAAGACAGCAGCTTTGAACAGTCACGCCAACCGCTTTGAAGTATTACACAAAACAGCTACACAGCATCATACCAACAGTTCCAAAATTGTATAACATCTTTTCCCACACACCTAAAGCTCATATTACTTAACCCCCTAACACAAAGGTAAGACATTTGGCTGGTTTTGCAATCAGATTTTGCGACATCCTCAGTTATCACCCGCTAGATGGCACTGAGTTTTGATAGCTTCTAAAACTGATCACCATGTAAAACCTAGTTCTCATTACCGTTCCATATTGACTAGCTCTTCACAAACTTTCAAAGTGCTATTTCTTTTTCTGAGATACTATTCTGAATCTAGACAACTTGTAAAAAGGACCTATAGTTTCTCTAGAGTTTGGTGAATATTTAAATCTATAAACAACTTAGATAGTTTTAAAGGTAGGCATATTTGTTGAATCTCACAAAAAGGTAACATGATTTTAACATTCTTATATAAGTTAGATCGCACTATTTCCCTGTTTGTTTCATAACATATGATAGTGAAATAATAGCTATACACGCACTTAAAAGAGCTTTAAAGAACTGGAAAAAGTGCAAGATAATTCAATAATAACGTTCCCTAATGACCGCTACATTTTTCATTCTTTAGCAATATACTATGCTTGCTCGCCAAAACACCCTTCACGATACCCTCAAGAACTAGTACCACACTGTTGGGAAAGGCGTCATCAGACTCCTTCAAGTCCTGCCTACAAGGCACCTGTGATTTCTTCAGATCGGCGCGGAGATCGTTAACCAAGTACGTCCGGACCAGTTCTCCGTTTGATTTCCTGTGGATGTACACGGGTGCCGTGTCGTATCGCAGGGACATGCGCCGTACGCACTTGAAGGGCTGATGGACTGGCATTTCCTGGAGCTGGACGTCGACCACACAGCGGCTGTGGGCGGCCACGCTGATGTCGCTGGTGGCTTCCATCACGATGGTCTCCTCGAAGGTGTCGGAGTCTGTGGTGTTGGTCTGTGGGGGGATAAAGGTGGGGGTGTGATGGTGTGTGTGGGGTAAACGTGGAAGTCTCTGTGGGCGATAAGGTGGATGTGTGGGGGGGGGGGGGATAATAGTGGATCTGAGAGGGGGATAAAGGTGGAAGTGTGCGGGGTGGGGGGGGGTCAGGGTGTGTGGGGTAAAAGTGGAAGTCTGTGTGGGCGATAGGGTGGATCTGTCTGTGTGTGGGGGGGTGTGTGAGGGGTATAGAGGTGGAGGTGTGAGGGGGATAAAGGCGGAAGTGTGCGGGGGGGGTCAAGGTTTGTGGGGTAAAAGTGGAAGTCTGTGTGGGCGATAAGGTGGATCTGTGTGTGTGTGTGGGGGGGGGGGTAATGATGGATGTGTGAGGGGTTTAAAGGTGGAAGTATGCGGGGTGAAGTGTGACAGGGATAAACGTAGAAGTGTGTGAGGGTAAGGGTGGAGATGTGTGTGGGTGGATGCGTGTGGGGATAAAATTGGAGGTGTGTGCCGGAAAGGTGTATATATTATGTTGATGTGTGAAATAGATGTTTCGGAATGTGGGATAAAGGTGTTGGCGTGAGTAATAAAGTTGGTGTGATAAAAGGTGTTGTGTGATATATATATATATATATATATATATATGTATATATATATATATATATATATATATATATATATATATATATATATATATATATATATATATATATATACATATATATATATATATATATATATATATATATATATATATATATATATATATATATATATGTGTGTGTGTGTGTGTGTGTGTTTAATGTGTGGATAAAGGTGTTGGGATGTGTAATCTAGTGATGTTGTTGATGCGATATGCATGTGTTGGTATGTGATATTAAAAAAGAGATGTTAATGTGTGAGATGAATGTGTTAAGTGCAGATGATGTCTCCGACTGATAGTGATTATGTGTAACAGAAAATGTAGATGCGTTAGATAAAAGATGTTTGTGTGTTGTGACAATAGTGTTCACTCAATGTATCTTAGATGTATTCGTGTCACTTTGTTAAGAAAATCTTTGAGTTACACGAAAAAAGAATTGGTCTTCGAAAAACATATAAAAACAACTTTAAGTCATGCTTTATGGTGATATTGTGTGAGATAGACTCCCATCTCATTAAATAGGAAATATTAATAACTATCGCTGTATAAAGTAACTCTACAAAATACCATTAGATCTAGCCTAAATTTAATTTTTACACCCTCTAAAACTAGCCATAATATGACACTTTGCCCTAACATTTTCTGTTAATAAACGTAAATATTTATACAAACTTCTTTATTAAAGTAGGAAAATGAGAATACAACGCTAACGAGACTGTTGTCTAAGGGTAGACCCTTCCCATGACCTCTCTCGTATCATAGCCTGGGTGTATGGACCACGCCATACCCATACCCCACATCCTACTTTTTGGTGTGTAAATTTACCCCCAACCCATTACCTGGTACTGTGTAAACCTACACCCCCAACCTCCTACCTGGTGCTGTGTGTAAACCTACCTCCCCTCCCCCCCCCCCCACAACCACCTACCTGATGGTGGAGATCTGTCTCACATCCAAACCCTAAGCTCTGCAGGATCCCAAAGCTGAAGTTGGCCTTTGCCCCGAACGTGAAGCCTTTCTGTGTGGATACGCTGATGACCGACTTCCGGGTTTTCTCAAACCTGAACTTGTAGCTTTGGTTTTGGTCGGTGTCGTTGTCAAATACAGTTTCCAAGGAAACGGCGCTTGACCTGACACCAAAGATATATATATATATATATATATATATATATATATATATATATATAATATATATATATATATATATATATATATATATATATATATATATATATATATATATATATATATATATATATATATATATATAGCCTACCAAGGCAAGCAACAGAAAATAGGGCATATTATACGATGGACACTTACAATAATATAATAACAATAAAATTCGTTATCATCGTCGCTAACTATGTTACTTCAAGCACAAGCCGATCAATCTATTTAATCAAGATAAGATTATATTATTTTTGCATTGTTGTCAGAAGCCAGATGCCCGTTGTTGACAAACATTTATTGTACCACATGAAAGCACACGATTATTTCCAAAGGCATGTCTTACTTGGGGCAATGACAAGTCTTACTAGGATAATAACAAGTTTTATTAGGACAATGACAAGTTTTACTTAGATAATACTAGGATAATAATACGTGGACGATGACAAGTCTTATTTGGACAATGTCAAGTCTTACTTGGATAATGACAAGTCTTAGTGGGACTTTGATAAGTGCTACTTAGACAGTGACTAGTATTATTTGGACAATGAAAAGTCCTATTTTGGACGATGACAAGACTTACTAGGATAATGACAAATCTTATTTGTCAATGACAAGTCTTATTTGGACAATGACAAGTCTTACTTGGACAATGACAAGTCTTACTAGGATAATGACAAGTCTTACTAGGATAATGACAAGTCTTACTAGACAATGACAAGTCTTACTTGGATGAATTAGCAACAGCCACAGCGTCATGCAGCGAAGGTTTAAATGCAACTTTGGCGTAGATATCCGACGGCTCGATCGATAAATCAGTAAAATCGTAGTAACTTTCTGGAACTTTAATTTCGTAATCCTCCCGCTTGACAAACATTCTTTGGTAGCTTGACAACGATATGATGTAGGAATTCCATGCTCTGTAAAAATACATAATATTTAGGCCTACGTATTTTCAAAACTGACTGAATAAAAAAAAATCTCAAACACTCAAATGAGTTGTTTCTACATAACAAGAGAAATAAAAAAAATCAGCATAAGGGCCATTAACAATGATGCTTAATTAAATTTTATGAAGACTAAGCTTGTAGCATAAGGACAGCGTGGTAGAGCGCTAGACAGCTAACACGAAAGTCTCGAGTTTGAATCCGGATTTAAGTCAGTAGAAGATATTCTAGTTCACCCAGCTCTGGTGGGAACATAACTCACTTTAGGGAATAATTAAAGCCGGCAGGGAATAGTGCTGACCACACCATCCCTTTATACACAGAGGTCACTCTAACAGATGAACTCTACTTTATCTGCCTCTTGTGTCTTGGGCTCAAACAACGGTAAAAGAGGATAGAGCCTTGTTGTCTTTAAATTCTATACTTACTGTTACATTGGTTAAAGTAATCAAATTCTGACCAAACTTTCGTATATTCCTATTCGTAAATCTGAATGATAATTCGTACTTTATTGATTTTAACAATCGTGTCAGATAAATATTTCCAATATTAGTTATAATTATATTGACAAAAATGAAATCAGGTCAAACTTTCCTACATAAAATTGTGTTTGAACTTTTGTGACGATTGTGATTGGGTGTTAAGATTAAGAAATGTGACGTCTCTTTTGTTTTTAGTAATTTTAATTGACACAAAAAAGTAATAAAAAACACCACAACAAACATGTCAATTTTCATTAGAATAAAACGTTATTGAGTGTATGTATGGGGGGGGGGGGGGGGGGGGATATCAATAAGAACATTGTGACCACATAGATTGAGCAGAGGCGTTGCGAGGCGGGGGTGGTGGTGGGGGGGGGGGTGCGGACAGCACCGGGTGACACAATTTAGGGGGGTGACACCAAGAAAAAAAATTGCCTGATAAATAGAATAAATATGTTTTTTTTTGCTAATTCAATAAACGATGGTTAAAATATTTTAAGTACATAATAATGATCGCGACAAGGGGGGGGGGGGTACGGGAGGGCATGAAGTGCCACACTGGGTTACACCCGACCTAGCGACGCCACTGATAATCAAACTGAGCAGGGGATTGTATCTGGCTATTGGCGTGATGGGGCGAGGTGAGGGAGTGAAGCTGGCTTGACGTTATCTACTGATTTAATGACCCCTTGCCAACACCCCCATCTGCCCCCCCCCCCCCCCCCCCCCCCCCCAGCACACAAACAATTAAATGTAACACGCCCGTGCCGAAAAAAGCGCAATGGCATCGGCAGCGATGAATGTTAGCACAAGACTGAGATAAGCCAATCAGGATCCAGATGTTCATAGTGTAGTTTTTATATCCTACACAAGTCTTTCAGAGTTGTATGCAACACGTCAACCAGTGTTTCTTTCAGACTTTTTTCTCCTGAAGGGAGGGGGGGCACTTGATATTTTCGGGGGGGGGGGGGGCAACAACATTTTTTGGGGTGGGGGCGGACACTGATAAAAGTATATGTTTTCTATATAAATTCCATTTTGTTCGGGGGGGGGGGGGTAGACTTTCTTCGGGGGGTGGGGGGGGGGGTGAAAGGCGTATGCTGGATATCTATATATATAATTCTCTTCTGGGATCAGTTAGAAAACAAACTGCAAGCGCGCCTTTGCAGTCCCCTCTCTTCCTCTCTATCACTACCACCCCCACCCCACCCCCACATGATCTGGTGAGCGGTGTTCACTCTGTTTACATTTTACAATCATAGAGACGGGTTTGGTGACGGCTATTAGGGGCAGATAATTTAGTTTGAAACGATTTTAAACTTAGAGGAGGTAACTAAGAGGAGGCTGCTTTCACGTAGGGGGGGGGGGGGTGGGTTAGTGTTTTTAAGCAAATATTTATTGTCAATGGCAGCATTGTTACTGTCGAATTCACAAATTATAAATTACTGAAAAGTAGAAAAAAAAACAACTAAATAGCGGCGTATGATGCGCAGCGGGTCGGCTCGTAGTGTATATTTTCTATAGGGGGGTCTATAAATCATGCGTTCTTATAGTTCGTCTGGTGGTGGGTGGGGGTGGTAGACGTGATCCGAGAAACACGCACCCCCCCCCCCCCCCCCCCCCAACTCCTCTTGTAGAGATGCCTGAACAAAACTGATAACAATAATCAACGCAACGCAATGCAGTAGCCTAGAGCAACAGAACACAGCTCAGCCACTGTTGTTGTTTAGATAACAATATCAAAGCTAACGTAGCACTCTGATATCTGAAACTCCACCAAAAGAGAGTTCTGTTTTGTTCGGAAAATAAATTCAAATTTTTGTGTAGATGTGTAGCATCGAGATTTAGAAAGTATGAAATTGGTGTATTTTAATATGAGTAGTTTTATTTCTAAACCGAATTTTATCTGTTATTTAGGATCCAGCATTAATAAAAAAAATTATGGAAATTGTATTATTAAAATGTATCAACGTGACTATGAAACTTGACCTTTAATTGATAAAAAGTGTAATATTTTAAAAAAAATAAAACTACTATCAAACCCATGAAATCAACCTATCTAGCAAACAATCGACGGTAGTTTAAGTAATTCGGCATATCATCTGGAAAAGGGATACAACTCATTTGATTTCGTTTTTTGTTGGTGATGGTGGTGACGTGTGACTTGTTGTGACGATGTGTCACGGTTGGGGGAGGGGGAAGGGGAAACCGACAGCTTGTTTTTGTTTATGGGTGACCCCCCCCCCCCCGATGAATACATGTCTACAATAGTTTACATTAAAAATGTGGGTAGATTGTAACAAGTTTAGTGAGACCTATGGTGGGGCGGGGGGGGGGGGGGGGGAAGGATCAGAGGTAGGCTTTGTGAAGAGATTTCTGGCTGGGAGGGGATAGAATTGCATGTGAAGAGATTTCTGAATTTATTTATTTTTAAAGTGTAGGCTGCAGTGGCGTAGCCAGGATCGTCTCATGGGGGGGGGGGGTTCCAATTTTTACCCGGGGACAAACTTTCGATTTGCACCCCCCCCCCTCAAACTTTCGATTTGCACCCCCCCTCATACTTTTTGTATATATACCGAGGGGTCTATGGGGGGGGGGGGGTTATGAGCCCCCCTATCCCCCCACCCCTGCCTACGCCACTGGTAGGCTGCCTACTACAAGTTAAGATGACAGTGTCTTTACTTCTCCAACCGTATTACTGCATGACTCGGCTTTAGTGCTATAAAAATGTATTTTTGAGTCACTCACCTTTCTGCTAAGACTGTAGACAAGTCCACCACCATTGGGATTTCTGCCGGTTGTTTTCTGCAAGTGTAGAGGAACCCATTTTGTACAAGATTTTTACAGATTTAATTTAATTTTGGAAAGTGAAGTTTCGCACATCGAATATTTTATGTTTTAACGATAGGAAAAGAGGTATATGTTTTCATTCAACTGTCAACTTTCTGAATTAATTTGAAAAAAAATTATATATGTTGAGTATAGTTTTATTATTTAGCAATTGGTTCCAAAGAAGTTATATTATTCCAAAGTATAATAACTTTGTTATTAAAATATTCTTCGTTTAGATTTAGATCCTGCATAGATTTAATGTATTAAAAGCCACAACATTTATAATTATCTACAAGCACCTGTCACAGAAAATAGCCTATTTTTTTTTATTACAGAAAGAATTGAAAATAAACTAATTAAATTACGTGGTTAAAAATTAAGTAAAATATTGTTAACTTACTTCTGACAACATGAAAACATTTTCGTGCCTGTGGGATGGAAATAAACAAAATTACTTATTACCTTTACATTCTAACAATTTAATTAAATTTTTAATTAAAGGAAGTTTATTTTGTATATTTTCTACTTTTTGTATGATTTGACTTAGAGGAGAAGCGACCAGGCACATTTATAGGTGTTGGAGAGTAAAGGGTTAATTAAAGATATGACATAGAATGTAAAGTGGACGTTCTGTGTAAGAAGTCTGATTTAAAAAGTCATAGATTTATATAAAAACCAAAGATTAATTCACTGTCAAATACGGAAACTTGAATATGTATAGACAGATATAAAAGAGTACACACATTTTTACGCCATTACATCTTGTTGAAAGGTTCAATCATTACTATTGAGCTATGCAATCGGTCTCAAAGGAGTCTAATATATCAAACGGGTTGTTTTTTTTCCCTCAGAAAGCTGAAAATGTTAAAATAAATAAAATAACTAAATAGAAAAGCTGTTTGTAGCTATAAAGTAATACGTATTTTTAAGCTACAACACAAACAGAAAAAAACTGTTAGACATTTTGATTTCAACACAGAAGTTGATTGAGTACAAAACGTTATCGATCTCACAAATTACAAGTAGAAATCTTCAATATCTGATCGTTTCTACAAATAGAAATATCGAATTTTAAATGTTACAATAAAAAAATAATTTTAAAAATTATAAAAGAATTTCATTTATTGCTTTTTGGTAGGACGTGAGTGAACTTTCACCGTGTTCATTTGTAACACATCGGGACTTTCTTAGTCTTGAGCTGATCACAGCTGAGAAAACTCAACTCACCAGCTCCGCCATTTTTAACGGCTCAATCACAAGATGATAACACAACACTTGTTTTGAACAAACTAGATAGCGAAATATCTATTCTTATCATTTTTTTTTCATCTTACCAAACTTACAAACATATACACGAAATTTAAATTATGCAAATAATTTAGAAGTATTACAAAGAATCCAATATATTAAATGAACTTTACCTGTTCATCACTGGACTGAAATATAATTTTTCTCCGGAGTTATATTCTACATTAAAATTATATTTTGATTTCTGTGCATTTTAGTCGGAGCAATTAAAACCACTTAGTTGAAAAAAAATAACTTTTTAAAGTCGATGAAATAAAACAAAACTAGTGGAAACGTTTTTTAAAAGTTGAGTACGTCTTGTAAGCCGGAGCGTGAGAAGCTAGCAAGCGCAAACATGGTGAGCACTGCTTTGTTCCAGAGGTCTTAGACACGACTCACGCGAACAAAGACTCATACATACCTTCTAGAATCTTCCGACTTCAGGGTCTAAGAACTACACATCTTCACCTCCACTGTAAGAAATACTTCACACTGTATAATTAAAAACACATTATAGTCGTAAGTTTAGTGGTTCTAGCATAATGAGGGGTGTGATTAACGCGGACATGCGCAGTGTGTAGCCATGAAATCAATAACACCTTGGTCTCCGTGTGAGCTACAACACACACGCACTCACAGTATCACACACACACGCAACTGGCACAATGAAGGCTTGTTTTGCCTGCTGGGGGAGCGGTGGGGGTGTTCGTCACGCCCCAGGGGTGGGGGTTGGGGTGCTGTACAAATCACGGTTCAGTCCTTGATGTGTAAAGACCACAAAGAAAACGTTTTTTGTGTGTACAGTAAAAATTTAATTTCTAAAACGAATGTACATCTTAGAAGAAAATAAAACGTTTTTTTCAATTTAAAAAAAAAATCAGTAAAATACTGTTAACCTTAATATTCACAAAAACAATATTAACACATAAGGTATTAAGAAAATATAAAGTAATGAGAAAATATTTTATTTAACTGATATTAAATTAGTTATATTATAATCTAAACAAATCTGTAAAATGTTACTTTTATTTTAGCTGAAAGTTTGTGGAGGCTTACACCATTGCCTGTAAGACTATAAAAAAATGTAACTTTCAAATTTTTTAAAATTTTTATAAAAATAATGTAAAATGATTTAAAAACAGAATTCGCTCGGCTTAGGTTAAAACTGGCTGAACTTGCGTACACTAGAGTAATAAAAAGGTTTAAAACTAGATTTTAATGTGTTCAGGCGAGGTAATTCAGTAAATTCAAGTTGTTCACGCTTATTCTTTTACTTACGTCCCTTGAAAAAAAATCTATTTTACTTCTAATTTTTATATAGTTTTATATCTATATATATAATTCTCTTCTGAGAACCGTTAGAAAACAAGTCCCCTCTCTTTCTCTCTATCACTATCACTATCACTACCACCCCCACCCCACCCCCACATTGTCTGGTGAGCTGTGGTCACGCTAAATGTTTACAAAGACAAAGCTAAATGTTTACAAATCGTAGAGCCGTAGAGTCGGGTTTCTATTAGGGGCAGATAATTTAGTTCGATTTTAAACTTACAGGAGGTAACTAAGAAATAACTAAGAAGGGGCTGCTTTCACGGGGGGGGGGGGGGGGGGTGTAGGGTCGGGGTTAGGGGAAAGGGGGGGGGGGGGGGTTAGTGTTTTAAAGCAAATATTTTCAGTGGCAGCATTGGTACTGTCGAATTCACAAATTATGAATTACTGAAAAGTAGAAAATAAAACAACTAAATAGCGGCGTATGATACGCTGCGGGTCGGCTCGTAGTTTTATATTTTAGTAAAAAAAGTACAGTTAGACAGAGATATGAATAATAAACTTTTAAGTTTAAAATATTTAAAAATATTACTAATATATCCAACGTTTAGAAAAAGAAGAAAAGCATACCACACACACACACACACACACACACACACACACACACACACACACACACACACATATGGGCAGTACCGGCGTCAGGTTAATTAGGCCCCTAGGCAAAAGTTATTAAAACGCCCCCTTTCACACAAATGAATTACTAAAACATATGTATAAGAACACAATTAATTAAAAGTGACATATTAATGTATTAACAATTGCATACATGCTATAAGTAGATATCAAAATCCAATTTTACTTGCCTCCTTCGTCTCAAAATTTTGTACTAATTCCTTCAATTCCAGTTTGCAAGCGTAATCACATTCTATTGAAATTGTTGCTAAGTCAACGAGTCTACTTTGTTCTTTACGACATAGGTCATGTTGGGCTCTCTGCAGTCCTCCCAAGGTGAATTTCAAAGCGGAACTTACCTGTTTTAATCTTGACTGTCTTTAGTTATAATTGTAAAATGTCTATATTGTGTGATTCTGTAACAATTTTTTGTTTTTGAAAAATAAAAGGTTATAGATGTTATAGATTCCAGCCTAAAATTGGTATATATGAATCCTTTAGGAGAGGGTGAAAAATATGAAAAAGAAAATTAATTAGATGTTTAATTTACGACTTAGACTGTATGTCTACTAACATTAAGTATTACAATCTACAGCGGCTAATGATGTATTTGTTTATCAACTTGATAATGCTAAAAAAACCTACCAAACTATTTTGTTTAGAACTTAAGCTCTATATAATTTTTACAATAGAAAATAATTACTTAAAGTTGTATTTATTAGTAAGCGGTCTACATAAGGTGCCGGAATTTGAAATGAATGTGAAGTTAAGCAATGAATTATCTCCCATTTGAAAATAAAATTTAAAAATTTTTATCCAAGGGAAATAACGTTCAGAAAAATAGCTAAATTAACAAAGTGTAACCAAGACGTGTATGAAAAACACAATAAACTCTCTAAATTTCATTACATAATAATTATAACAAACCTTTTATATTAACTGTGTAATCTTGTAAAAACAATATATTCTAACCATTGATTACTTGACTGTAGATTTCGTTTGAAAGTCTGAAAACGGTAACTTTATTATAACATACTTCTATTCAATTTTGTAAACATTAACTGTTCAGTATGGGATGAAAATGAAAGGTTTAACAAAATTTTGGATCCCCTAAATAAGGGGACGTCTTACAAAAAAATCAAACAATGGTAACTGTCCTCGATCAGGATCCGGCAACCCGCGGCTTGTGAGCCGCATGGCGGCTCCTCTGATGTCAAGATGCGGGTCCTCGGCTCCATGTACACATTTTAATAACTATTTTATTTTATTTTTAAAACTAAAAATATTGTTTTGCAACACTCAGTAATAAATTCTAAAATCATAAACATTAAACATTCGCTATTCTTTTCAAATATTTCAATGTACTTCCTGTTAAACTGCTCATCCCGAATTGAAACATTCACTTCATGGTGAATATCACAAAGAAAATAAACGAGCTAAATGTAAAACTGCAAGGAAAGGAAAACTCAGCCTATGCCTTGCTAGAGAAGTGGATTTATCGAAAAAAAATTACTGTTTTTTTTGTTGAAGAAATGAAGTGCGGTAAATTACTTAATTTAAAAAAATCTGAAAAAAAAAAACAACTAGAAACCAATGCAACTATTAACATGAATTGCTTCAGCATTACAACAAACAAAACGACGGATGGATTCACTGAGAGATTTGAGCAATTCAAAACAAATGCAAGTACTCTGACGTTCATAGTAGACTCTCTCAACACAAAAAAATATGAGATTAACTTTGAGCTATTTGGAATTGATGCTGGTTCGCTTCAAATGCAACTGCTGGATTTGAAAACGTATCATTTGTGGAGCGAAAAATTCACAGAACTCAAGAGCAAGTAAAAATAGTTGAAGGTCCAGTAAAACATGCACGTTACGCTGCACAACTGGACAGATGTAAAAGAAATATCGCGAGTTGAGCTAAAATACTATAATATGTTTTGTGCGAAACATGTGTATTTTTTAAAAAATATGAATAAAAATTATTTCATATTTAAAACTTATATATATATATATATATATATATATATATATATATATATATATATATATATATATATATATATATATATATATATATATATATATATATATATATATATATATATATATATATATATATATATATATATATAAATTTTGTAAATTGCATCTTTTGGCTCTTCCGTCTCAAAAGGTTGCCGACCCCTGTCCTAGACATTGCTACAATTATTGATTAAATATATAAAAATTCTAATTTGAAAAAACAAAGTTTACGGTTAGTTATAAATTCCATTCTAGTTAATTAATACTAATAGTTTCGCTGTCTGTCTATCTATCTGTTTATCTATCTGTCTGACAAGAACGCTATAGAGAAAACACAAGCAAATTTAAAACTTTCACAGTGAAACGAAAACGAAATATGACGTCACATTTAGCATATAGTAGAAAATAATATCAAGCCGGAGAGTGCTCACAGTAATATGACGTCATTGATTCTCGAGTAAACATTGAGTAAAAAAGAAAATTTTGTCTAATCTAAGTGGTTTGCGTAAAGAGTTTCATTCATACAATTCTTCGGGTAGGAGCGAAGCCCCACCCTTGCGAAAGAACGTCTAATCCCCCCCCCCCCCCCCCCCCAACTCAAAAGGAATTTCTTCATCGATACTCTATAATAAAATTACCGCCTAATTAATGTGTCTAATCTAAAAAGTGGTTTGCGTGCAGAGTTTCTTTCATGCAATTCTTCGGGTAGTGGCTAAGCGCGACACCAGTGTTTCTTTCAGACTTCTTCCTCCCCTGAGGGGGAAGGGGAACTTTTTCTAATCTAAAAAGTGTTTAACGTGCACATTTTTTTTCATGCATCTCTTCCGGTAGGGGCGAAGCCCCGCCCAGATTCTTCCTTTAGTTTGTATGATCTACAAATGCGACCAGCGTTTCTTTCAGACTTTTTCCTCCCCGGCGAGGGGTGGGGGTACTTGAATTTTTTTGGGGGCGGGGGTAGAATTTTCTGGGAGGGGGCGGACACTAGAAATGTACTAGGCATGCTGCCCAGCTTCGCTTAGGCTTTCGAAAACATTGAGAATTTGAATGCTTAATTAATTCGCCCGAAGGTCGGTCTACGACCTCAAGAGTTATGAAGAGGTTCCTCCGTGGACATTTTTTTTCGATTTATAGCTCATATAAGGTACCGGTCAGTCGAGGTCAGTTTTGACCCCCACATCGTAGACTTTTCGGCCAACCGGCCCCCGTGTTCTGTCGCACCAAGGCAAGATCATGCCAAATTTGAAGCGCCTGCGGCGCCGGGAAGTGCCCTATCGGACACCCGACAATCTAGATCTAGATCTAGATTTCTAAAAGAATTTTTTTTTTAAGTTTAGCCCGAGCATAATAAAAAATAATACATTAACCAAGTTGACTTGCTGTGTCTCGAACCCGCACCACCTGCGTGGTTTAATGTACACTAACACCTCCGCTATTTAGGCACCTTATAAAATACGGAGAATGAAACACGTATTTTAAAATCTTAACTTACGCGAATATGCCTATTCTTTCAAATTAATTTTTTTATCCCAAATTAGCCAGTTCCAAACAAAGATTTTGTATAAAATAAATAAGTCTTGAAATAGTTTAGTCCTAATATAGAAATTTATTTTTGGAATTGATTTTAGAGAAGTTAGAGTCTAAATCTAGATCTTAGCGTCTACGTCTAGATCTAGTTATTGCGTAGATTTAGATTTAGATTTAGTCTAGATCTAGAATCTCTAGATCTAGAATCCAAATACATAAAATAAATGTTATGAGTTTAGGCCGGAAAAATTGTATTGTATACATTTCATAGTGTACGTAGATCTAAATCAAATTTGAATGAAATAGTTCATTTCTTTTCATTCTAAACACGGCAGATGACGTCATTAGTTAATGTATAAGCAATAGTGACGTCACAGTTTTATGCGTTCTTTTTCACATATATTAATGCTTTTCCGGTTGCATAAATAATACTGTTTCCCTACATTCGAATACGCCTTTAATTTTTATTTTTCTTCTTTAACTAAAATTGTGGTTATACATTTAAAACATCTAACATATTATTTTCAACAAAAGTCCGTAAAAAATTCTCGATATATCGCTGCCGATTCTGACGTGATGTCCGGCGAAAATTTTTTGCGGACAGAGAAAGAGAGAGAGAGAGAGAGAGATGTGCGCACATTGGGCTTTTATATATTAGGATATAATTATATTTCGTTCAATGGGACGGTAGACATGTTTTGGGGGGTGTGTGTGGGGGGGGGGGGGGCGGAGCCCCCTCCTCCCAAGTAGAGTTGCCTGAAAGAAACTCTAAATGTAACTTTTGTCATGATTGAGATTAGGTGCATGGTTTAGGGATATGCCTATGACTATATTTTGTATAAATTAAAGTACCGATTCTGGATAAAAATCCGTTTTCAATGTCATTTTTCGTTTCTGGTTAAATTAAATTGAGGTGGTGATTTTGTTTTGGTTTTAGTTTAGAGAAAATAGACAGCACTATCAACCTAGCGCCCGTTGTATACTTCCTCAACGGGCCATTTTTCTCGTCAATAATAATAGTTTCGCTGTCTGTGTATCTATCTATCTGCCAAGAACGCTATAAAGAAAACACAAGCAAAGTAAAAAGCTGCAGAGTAATTCGATAAACGAAACGTGACGTCACATAGAGCATATTGTAAAAATAGTCTAATCTTAAAAGTGGTTTGCGTAAAGTGTTTCTTTCATGCAATTCTTCTGGTAAGAACGTTTATGCCGCCCCCCTCTAAAGAAATTACGCCATCGATACTCTGTAATAAAAACACCGAAATTACGGCCTAATTAATGAGTCTAATCCTTAAAGTGGCTTTTGTGGCGTTACCAGGTAGGGGTGTCAGCCCCGGGTGTTTAGGAGATACATTTGAAGTATAGAGAAAGTCTTGTTTAAATAGTTTACATCCCTTATTTTAAACCATTACTATTTGTATTTTGAAATAAATGAAAAGCATTAAATTTATAAATGAAAAGCATTTTTCGGTAGAAGCTGCTGATAGACACTTAAGATTTAGTTTTTAACGAAGCCTACTTGAAATATAATAAATTAAAGAGTAGATTAAACGAATTACATAAAAAAACCCAAGTAAAACAGGTTCGAGTTTGAGAGTTGAAGGAAATGACATCATTGCTCAGATAAAAGAAAGAGAACAAGACAAGCATTTAATAAAACAATGGCTAAGTAATTATTTTTTTAATATCAGAATGTCATTGAACAAATAAAAAGTGTATCATCTTCTTCTTTGTTCTTAAATGTAATGTTGGACAGGATTTACTTCAAAACAAGTATTTCCTGTCGACCTATTATGCGTCAAAAACGTTATAATTTCTATTTCAAAAGTTAATTAGAGCTGTGATTAATCAATTAGTACTTGAGACGGCTCCATGACTTAAAGAAGTCTTGTAAAAAAAGATACTATTTCTGGCGGTACATCCATGGAGCAGATAGAGTAGAGTTCACCTGTTTCTTTGACTTCGGCATATGTAGGGATAGCACAGTAATTTACTTTCCCATTAGTTAGGTAGCCATCAGAACTCGGGTAAGCTTACTTGAGACATTCTTCGGAATCAGGCCCAGGATTCGAACTCGATAATTTCAGGTTAGCAGTCGTACGCTTTACCATTACAATATGCCGATATGCAGATATCTTTCACCTAACCAACCCCCCTCCCCCATACACCCGCCACCAACACACCCCTATACGGTGTCCAAGCGTCCTTCTCACGCGTCTTTTCTTTTGGATATCGTGCCTAGCAGACAAGACGTGTTTTCACTATCGAGCTAAGTTCAAAAAATGTGTTACTGTTTGCCTTTATTTGTCTAATCTGTAACCACACTGTTGTGTGCTGACAAAGACCTTGGGTCGAAACGTCCATAGTACTTGTAACTGTATTTAACTTGTGAGGTAACTAACACTGTTTTATTACTAACGAGCCGACCCGCGGCATATCATATGCCGCTATTTATTTTTTTCTTTCTATTTTTCAGTAATTCATAATTTGTGAATTCGACAGTACCAATGCTACCACTGATAATATTTGCTTTAAAACACTATCAGTAGGTCGTTAAGAACGATACTACCCCTACCCTCCTTTCCCCCAACCCCTACCCCCACCCTCCTTTCCCCCAACCCCTACCCTACCCTACACCCCCCCCCCCCCCCCCCCGTGAAAGCAAACTCCTCTTAGTTACCTCTCCTAAGTTTAAAATCGTTTCAAACTAAATTACCTGCCCCTAATAGCCGTCACTGAACCCGTCTCTACGAATGTAAACATTTATCGTGAACCACAGCTCACCAAACCATGTAGGGGTGGGGTGGGGGTGGTAGGGAGCACGCTTACAGCATGTTTTCTAGCGTCTCACAGAAGAGAATTGTATATATAGATTGCATTAACCCCACTGCAGCTACCATTTGTTTTTATCAATATCCCGACAAAGACATGCATTTTCAGAAAATGTAGATAGATTATGTTATATTAGGATCGAATCCCATTGTTTTGGTCAGTGCCTGAACACATATATTTAGTCACTAAAGCTCTGAATGTCACATATATCTGTTTACAATCAAATGTTACATAAATTGTTACGTATTGTATAAACCATAAGGGGTTAATTTTATCCCTCGAAAACACAATATTTCACAACAGAGACACTAGTACAATGCTTGTTGGGGAAAGGACCACAACATCTTAATGCTGGCCCGTTAAACTCTCCTTTTTTTTCAGAATTTTTAATCTTTAGCACAACTTCTTGTTACAAAACAGGGAATATTATATTACGTGCTATTTTTATTTAGCTTTTGTGTATATCATGTACATTGTCAACATTTAAGTGCAAATTTTCGACAATAAGATACAGATTCTAATAAATTTCTGTAAAAAAAAATTTCACAGTTTCCTGTATAATTCAAGGGAAAAAAGTTTCTAATATAGTTAAACTACCTTGGTATTCTATGCAGGAACTGAACCGAGAAGCCATTTAAAGCCGTTTGAAAGCCTTAGGGGTTACTGTCAAATAAAAGCTGAAGTAGTTTAAAACAACTAATCTTCCTTGCTAGGTATTTTGTTTAGCTGAGTCACTACTCAGCAAGATTTTATGATTACACGCTAAAACACCGTTCAGCGTTCCCTCCACGACAAAGTCCAACTTGGTGTGTGACACACCCCCATCCTGCTCAACCACATCCTGACTACACGGCACGCTTGAAGCGTCGAACGCGTTCCTCAAACTTTTCACCACGTAGATAAACGCCATCTTGCCGTCTGCCTTTCGCCGGATGTACAGCGGCGCGCGGCCTTGTGGGATGGACATGCGCATGACGACTTTGAAGTCGGTGTGCAGGGGTTTGTCCTGGAGCTGGATGTTGGCCGTACAACAGCTGTGTGGGGCCACCGAGATGTCGCTAGTGGCCTCCATGATGACCGTCTCTTCAAAGGTTTGGCCTTCAGTCTTGGTCACCTGAAATAGACATTGTACATTCGTTCAGATAGGTCCTTAGTAAATTCATTGAGCTGTTAATTTGATGATATAAATTACAAACAAATAAAACATTAGGTCATCTTTCTTCGGCACCTGAAATTTCAGTAATTTCATTAAACTGTTAATTTGATGATATTAATTACAAACATATGGGCTGCTGTCATCGTCATCTAAAAAAAAAGGCTTTTTTAAAATTCATTAAGATAGGCCCGTAGTAATTTTATTAAACTGTTAATTTGATGAAAACAATAATTGAAGTAAATAAAACATTTGACATTCAGTCTTCGTCACATGAAATGGGCATTTCAATTCATTAAGATAGGCCCTTGGTAAATGCATTGAACTTTTAATTTGATGAATTAAAATAACAAGTAAATAAAACATTAGGCCTTCTGTCTTCGTCACCTGAAATTTCAGTAATTTTATTGAACCGTTAATTTGATGATATTAATTACAAGCAAATAAAACATTAGGCCTTCTGTCTTTGTCATCTGAAATAGGTATTTTCAATTCATTGACCGTATAATTTGATGGACTTTATTAAGTAAATTGCAAGTAGAAAGAAATTTGGGCACTCTGTCAGAAGGACCCTTAGTAAATTCATTGAACTGTTAATTTGATAGAAGTTATGAAATAAACTACACGTAAAGAGAATGGTTGGCCTTCTATTTACATCAACTGAAAAATTCATTTTAAATTTTATGATACACCCCTATTAATATTTCTGTGACCTATTAATTTCATAGAATATATGCAATAAAATGCAAGTAAACAGAATGTTCGGTATTCAAATTGTCTCTTTAGCATCTGGTCTTCTGTCCTTTTCAAATGAAAAATTAATTTATAATGCTGAGATATGCCCTTCATAATTTAATTGAACTTATAAAATAAAATTTAAATATAGGCCACTATTACTATAAAGGAACATATAAACATGTACATAAAAATTTTCAGATTTGAGATTGTAATTTAAAAGAACTTATGGAATACAGTTTTGAGATAATCCCTATTATTTAAAAAAACGCATGAACTAAATTACAAGTAAACATTCTAAGTATAATTTCCAAAAATTAAACATGTATCTTGGTTATCAAATGAATTATGAATGTAATGGTTAATACTGAAATACATGTTCAGTTATCAACCTGTTGATGGGCCAAATCTAAATTTGTAAACTAATTTACCACTGGACGTTCTGTATTTTTATCTACAACAAAGCGAAGCCAGGCTGTTTTGCTAATGGTATGTGTACCTGATAATGCATGTCAGTCTTCAAACCGAAGCCAAGCGATTAAGCTAATGGTATGTGTACCTGATAATGCTTGTCAGTCTCCAAGCCAAAGCCCAGCTCTTTTGCTAATGGTATGTATACCTGATAATGCATGTCAGTCTCCAAGCCAAAGCCAAGCTACTTAAGTAATGGGATGTGTACCTGATAATGCATGTCAGTCTCCAAGCCGAAGCCCAGCTGCTTGGGTATGCCGACGTTGAACCTTGCCGCGCCACCAAAGGTGAACCCACGATGAAAGGACACGCTAATCACCGTCTTCCGGTTCTTCTCAAACCGGAACTTGTACGTTTGTTTTTCGGAGGTGTCGTTGCCAAACACGGTTTCCAAGGAAACTATTTCCGGTCTGCGGATAAACAAAAGAAAAATTTAGCCTATAGTTTATAACAACAGGTAACCAATAAAAGGAAATGTTTAGCATATTTCACAACGAATATTAGGTTTTATATGTGATCGTTGTCCGGGGTATAGCATTTTATATGGGTTATAATATGTCATTTTACACACCATTCTGTTCCCGTAATAGTAGGCCTCTTTACATACCAATTTACATGGAAGATATTTCAGCGTATATATAGGCTAATGTTTCCTTTCGGGTTTGACGATCGAGAGAGGAAATGAAGTAGAGTTGATCTGTTTCTTTTGAACTCAGAAATATAAAGCAAGTGCGTGGGGTACAATATGCTCAACCGAACTTATTTTCCTCGAGTAGGGTCAGGTACCAATTAGAGCTGAGTGTCCTCATACTGACTCAGCAATCGTCAGCCTAACTATTCGATCTCGTCGTCCAATATCCAACACTGCGATATTTTCAATGTGTTTCGCTATTTACAATGTTTCCATTTCTTTCATAAGTAGCAGATAAAAAAAACAACACCATTACTGCAAAGGGTATTGAACAAAAAAAAAAGGTCGCCAAACGTCACACACTCTACTCACTTTGAAAGATCATTCTTAAGAGATCTGTTGCCCTTCATCACTGGCGTCACATGACCTTCCTCCGGGTTAGGTTTGACCTTGACGGGCGTGTAGTCGGGCGAGAGTTCAAGGTCAGTGCTGACGTTCTCAAAAGTGTAGAAATTCTCGGGGACGTCGAACAGGTAGTTCTCCCTTTTGATGGACCAGCGCTGGTAGGAGGTCAAGGTCGACAGGAAGCAGTTCCAGGCCCTGGGGATGGAAGGGTCAGCTGACCGCTACAACATGAATGTAAACATTTGTGTGATACAACTAGTGCCCGGATGTACTACAGACGGGGGGAGGGGGGAGGGGGTGGGGAGTCATTAAATAGACGGCGACTGGTTCTGATGAAATCTTGATAACAAAACACGCACACGGTTACTTTCAAATTTATTTCTCCTGGAGGGAGGGGGGATGGGGGGGGGGGTGCGAAAAGTATGCCTGAAATTACAAATTATCCTTTAAATTAACAATTTACAAAACCTTCCCTAAATTAACAGCTTACAAATCTCCCTTAAATCAATAACTTACTAATCTCCCTTAAATCAACAACCTACAAAATCTCCCCTAAATTAACAACTTACAAAATCTCCTGTAAATCAACAACTTACAAAATCTCCCCTAAATCAACAATTTACAAAACCTCCCCTAAATTAACAATTTACAAAATCTCCCCTAAAGCAACAACTTACAAAATCACCCCTAAATCAACAACATACAAAATCTCCCCTAAATCAACAACTTACAAAACCTTCCCTTATTCAACAACAACCTACAAAATCTCCCCTAAATAAACAACTTACATATCTCCCCTAAATTAACAACTTACAAATCTCCCTTAAAGCAACAACTTACAAAATCACCCCTAAATCAACAACATACAAAATCTCCCCTAAATCAACAACTTACAAAATCTCCCCTAAATTAACAACCTACAAAACCTCCCCTAAATCAACAACCTTCAAATCTCCCCTAAATCAACAATCTACAAAACCTCCCCTAAATCGACAACCTACAAATTCTTCCCTAAATCAACAACTTACAAAATCTCCCCTAAATCAACTACATACAAAACCTCCCCTATATCAACAACCTACAAAATCTCCCTGACACCACCAATTCAACCTTGAACCTACTTGTCACACAGAACATCCCTCAGATCAACAATCAGGGGCGTGTCTTCCTTAGGCTCCGGGATAGGCCTACAGCATAACATTTTCAACTTCTGAAAAATAAATCATTGAAAGTTTTAAAACAGTCTATTATTTATGAAAGCTCTACAAAATTAAAAATTACCTTGTATGTATATAGTCAACTTTGTATACTGCTCTACGCTATCGACTTCGTTACCGGTATTAATATAAAATTAAATATTTTTTTTTGCTCTTTCGTGTACAGGAATTTTTTGTGTGTGTCATTAACTTGCCTACCATCAGAGGCGTCGCGAGGGATGTTTGTGTGGACCGCACCGTCTGACTCACGACTTAACGACGCCACTGCCTAACATAACTATAGCCGGAGTTCACTTAAGTGACGTCCCAACCTTTGCTGTTATACATAAATACAAGAGAATGTTCAGGGGAACATAATTCCGCTTTGTTATTTTTCAATGAAATAGTTATCCTGAAGTTATTTATTTTGTTTTAATTATTGCCTAAATATCCATTCCATATCATTAATAAAATAGTAATTTTTTTTACAGTAAACGGTTATTTTAGACGGAATTTTAAATGTAATAGTAAGTTCGGCTAATGGAAACTGTAACAAACACATTAGTACAGTTGGTTCTCTCCAATTTATGTAAGTAACTCATTATAACTTACAGAACGAGAGGTCTTTATAAAATAAGACTCCTGCTGCATAAAATCAGTCTTGTGATTAGACCTCCCATTCCATATTGATTATAAGAATATCAACAACGTTAAAAATTAAGAAAAGTAAACCGTCTTTAAACTAAGCAAAGCAACAACAACATCAAAAAAAACTTTTGCTAATACACGGTTAGGACCAAAAAATGTTTTTCATCCCCGCTGATTTGTGTAGTAATCTTACGGATTTGTGTACTAAACTGACGCACACATTTCTATACGAGTCTAAGATGAGTCGGCTGGAGGCTAATCTGGAACTAGAATAAAACCTGGGCTGAGATCAATTATCTGTCGGCTTGTTGTCATCAAGGTGATCGATGGCGAGAGAACTGGAGAACCAGACTCTACGCTACACAGAACAAAGTCTGGGTATAGTAGTACTATGGATTCTACGCTACACTACTCGAAACATATTGTTTTAGTATAGTAGTACTTCTAATGCTACACTACAAAGTCTGAGTATAATAATACTGTAGTAACTACATGAAACAAACTCCCGAATATAGTAGTACTAATTTAAAAGTCTGAGTATAGTAGTACTTTCAACGCTACTACAAAACGCTACACTATAGCCGTACTTCCAATGCTGCTACAGTTACACTAAACAAACGCTAACAGGGTTGATCCATACATATAGTTTATATTTATATCTGAATTCATGTTATAATATGTTATAGGACCAACTGAAATTATGAGCCCAGATGACGTCATGAGCTAAACCTTAGGACGCCGCCGAAATACAGACGTGACTACTTTGGATCCGAACTGAAATTCAGCTTACAAACTGTAGTACCCATTGTTTACACACACTTTATACACACACAGTTTACAACATTTCAGTCATACGTATATAAAATTGTATCTCTATACATTTTTTAAAAAAGAAACGAAAGATATACAAATATCTCGATATTTGTATAAAGAAATCTCCTTTTTTTATGATTCATTAAACGCATGAATCATAATTTATCTTATTTGGTAATATAATGAGGGCGGATATAACGTGTATTGTTTGTGAGTCGCATGAATAAATGATGAACGCCCTTGAGCGTGTAGCGATTCCTTTTGTTAGCTACACCATAGGAGTTACCAGAGTTATGGGCGCTGATAGTTACACCAGCTGTGCTGAGCATTATTTGCGGAGATAATTCGAATGTTTAGTTAGGGTGTGATTGGTTCTGGAGTAATGATGATCGATCGATGATTGACCGATTCCTTGTGGTAATACGGGTAATGAGATATGAGGGAGGGGGTGTATAAACACCGGTTTTCAACTGTAGAGTGAAACATTAAAAATGCTAATTCAATAAATCAACTGTTTGGTAGAGATATACTATCTACATAGTAAGATTAATATACATTATTTATTTTACTAAACAAAACGTTAGAGTTCGAGCAAAGAGTGGAATGGTTGGGTCCCAGATGCTCTGGAAATTTTAAAAGCGGTTACCCAAACCCACGTTGAAATTTTTCCTTGTGTATTTTTTCCCTATCAAAGCCTGGATTTTACGCCTTGGCATGAAGAAATTGTAAAAAGTCAACAATTTTAAACACAATCAAAATTCTAATAGGACTATTACAGCACCATTCCTTAAGGCCCATTGAGGTTTATCCCTGCTGGCCCACCAAGATTTTTACCGGTATACCGGCGGGCCAGTCCACCCCTAGTTGTAGCTAGTGTTACCAGTACTGTCATGGCCTTTATGGCTAACACAGAGTGGTTTCAATCATGATTCTTGATAATCGAAAGGTACCAATGTAGATTTTACTTCTTTCGTTTATATATATATATATATATATATATATATATATATATATATATATATATATATATATATATATATATATATATATATATATATATATATATGCGCCCAGTAGTGTATTTATGCTACTTATGTTTATGATGTGGTTTTGATATGGACAGGACATAAAGGCCAATGGCGTTTTAATTCTGAGCCTGGCTCCTCCTTGTAAAACCCCTGACCCCTTGCAATGTCATTATATCCCCATACAGCTACCAGCAATTCAATTAAGATCTATAAAATACGGGGACCCCCCCTACTGAGGCCTTGTCAACACTCCCCTCTCAATACACCATAAACAGGACCCCACAGATAACATAAACAAATGAAACAAAACCAGTACCTAACTATAGAGACAAATAGATCGCAAAATGTAAGCTTTATGAGTTCTTCCGTTTGTAACCAATATACTTGTAATGTAAACTTTCGTCGGTCAAAACATTAAATATGTAAAAAAAAAAACATGGCGTTCTCTTAGATCTTTTATTTTAAGTGAAGTACAATAAACAAAAAAAAAAACAATGTGGAAAAAGTCTACACATCTAAAGTATCACATTCCATTGAGTCTTGTCATGCGCAGATAAATAAATCATTTTTCACCATTTCCGTCCTGTTGGATGAATCTCCCGCAAAATGGCGGTCGTTGCGTGCTTCAATATATCCGCGAATCTCGAAATTAATCGTTTACTTTTTTTAAACAAAAATAAATATTGAACACATTAAACGCAACACAATTACAGCTATAGTAAAGTTGGTTTAAGATTTATTTAATTACAAACGTTAATTAAAATATTTAAATTAGTTTCTGAATTCTCATGGTACTATGATAGTTTCTTCTCGTTTGAAGACAAAAAAGATTTAAAGTGCTAAACCTCGCTGCTTTTTCGTAATATTTAACTATTATCGTAATATACGCTTAGCAATAGTTTAGTTTATCTTCACAAAACCTAATTTACCCAATAGAATTTACTTGAATCTAACATGGCGTCTGTTAACGATTTTTCTTTCTTTCTCAGATTAAAAATATAAACGGTGTCAATTTTGCTAATTAAAATAGAAAACCATGTTTACATTGTATGAATTCTATTAGTTTTGCGTTACGATAGATCGGCATTAATCGAATTCAAACAATCAATTTGAAATTGTTTGTATTTACCTTTTTAAACGACCTATTTTGCCTTTGTTGGTGAAAAAAAAAAGTCTCGTTGCAAATGTCGTTAATTTCTAGTTTCTTAAACTCGAATATGTTAACTTACAATTTACTGATTTTATTTAGAATACAATTGTACACATATATATATAAGATTATATATAAGATTAGATTAACATAAAAAAAAGAAGCAATATATTCACGATTATGTAGCTTACCTTAGGGTTAAAGAAACATTTTTTAAAAATATCTCCAGTTTAAAGAAAAGAAATCACGTCCATGAACGAAAGGTGAGCACTGATAATTTTCGCACTCTACTCACAGTCGGTGAATTCAACAGATTCTAGACAACAGACAGACTGCAAATAGTCTTACTGATACCACAGACTAAAAGCCTGACAATAGACTGACAGACGCCAGCACTCTGACAATAGACTGGCAGATACAATACGGAACCAGCCGTGATGCGAGAGGGTTTAGGTGGAGTGTGGAATCGATAGTCGAGGCTGCGATACTGATCTATCTCAGAACTGTACGGGGGAGGGCAACTCATTTCGCGAGAATTTAGCGGATTAGTAGCCCTTGATTTTGAAACTGGATGAGTGGCGTAGACGGAACTAGAAAAAAAAATTCACGCAGGAAAAAAAAAGTGATTTTTTAAAATTAAGCTGATTGTACACGCTAGAAGAAGTTCCACATTTTAAAGATATTTCAAATTTTATGTTTCTGTTTTTGCTTGCGGAAAATAAGTTTAAAACATTATTTCTTGTTCTAGTATTTTGATGTTTGTAAGACTCAATTTCATTTTTAAATATTTGTAATATACTAAAAATATATATTGTTTTACAATTGAAGTGTTTTATTTTGCCCCATGTCTATCGAGTAAAGGAATGTTTTTTTATACTAACGGGGCATAATTAAGCTTTAAACCAATAAACACACACGACACACTCTTCTTCTTATTGTTCAATTATTTATCCTTTACACCGCCCTACCCACTCCACCATTAGATTCCCTTCTTCCACCCCACCCACCTCACAGTGTGCGTTAGTTTTTTTTCCTCCCCACCCATTATTATTGCATTGCTAAAGTGTTTTCTAAGCACGTCCATTCTTAAGCTTAGCCCGACGACATCTTGAATAGGCTTACTTAGAAACGTCTTCAGAATGAATATCTTTTTAAATAAATCAATTGGATGGTTTGAATCCAGTGAAGCATTGTAGCACTGTGTGTTAAAAACGAACACGTCTTGAATTCATTTAGTTTAACATTCATTTTGTCATCATAGATTCATGTCGCGGTTTTGCTCTAGGAAGCTGGGGTTGGGTGGGGGGTAGAAAGGGGGGGGGGGGTGAGTTGTGACTATTATATTTTTAGAACTAGTTTGTTTTTAATGTAAGAAAACAGCTAGGACATCAAAAATATATTGAGAGTCCAAAATCAAATAAATTGTCTTGGTAGTTTGTTCTTGGTTAAACACAGGCTATTGAAGCAAATCAAAAAAGAAAAACAGGCTGAAATTGTGTTGGTGGTTATCTCTTACAATACTACAATTAAGGCTGTACGAAATACAAAAAAATATATTTGATATAGAAAATATATATTTTAACCAGAGTGTGCCCTTCCCCCTCCCCCCTTTAAAATTTAAGTGCTGGCTAATGGAAGACACCTCCTAAGAGGGTGTCTATAAAGAAAGAAAAAAGTAGAACACGCAAAAAATAGTCCGCAAAGACGAAATAACTTTTTCAATGACTAGTGTATACATAGGCCTGAATATCTGTGGTTAACTTAAATTTTCAGTACATTTATATATACGTGAGTTTTTCACGTGAGATTTCTAGCTTTGTGCTCACGTTTAACTTACTGTCTACACACCTTCTGGGTGTACCTGATTTTTTCACCTGCTCCTTAAATATTTACCTCCCCCACCGGGCAGGTTTACGTTCCTTAAAGAACTACCAAACGAAAACATTTACCTTTAAAAAAAAAAGACAGGTTCCCGTTTTTTTACTTTGTTTTTGTAATTCTCGCTCGCTTAACCGTAAATACTATTATAGTGAAAAGGTTAAAAACACAGAGCGCCTAGTAAAAGAAATCAAACTTTTAACATCGAGATGTGAAGACAGGGGTTTAACAATGTTGAACAGGAGACTTCCCTTCCTTATTTGAAAAATTGTAAATTTGAATTATTTCAGTTGCCGTTTGGTTCGGAGGTAAAGATATAGTTCAGTGAAATATGAACTTGCGTGAAGGTATGTGGTGGAACTCATGGTTGGGGGAAGTTAAAAACATGACATCGGGCTACATTTGGACATTTTTAACTTACATTCGGATAGTTAGTCTTCTGACATTCGGATAGTTAGTCTTCTGACATTCGGATAGTTAGTCTTCTGACATTCGGATAGTTAGTCTTCTGACATTTGGACAGTTAGTCTTCTGACATTAAGCAGTTAGCTTCTATGTTAAGCCTTTGACATGAAATACTTAATTGTGTTAGAGGGAATCCCTTCCAATATTACAAATTCAGAACGAAGAATAAGAAGAAAAAAAGAAAAATTCTCTGAGAATGTCTTAATGAGGAAATATTTTCTAAAATAAATGTTACAAGCTTGTCATTGTGCAAAATTTGTTTTATTTCATAAAAAAAATATAATGACCATAATTTTATCATCCGTTTTTGTAAGTCTTGTACACAATATGGGCAGGTTTAAGTCTCTGACTCTTTATGTTAGGACTCGTTCTGGTACAGGTAGGCTTAACCGTTGAGGATTGGAGCCAGCCAGTTCTTGAGCTCAATGACGTCAGTGTAGACACCTGGTCTGCCGGCTTCAGCGCAGCCGTAGCCCCAGCTTACGATACCTGGGGAACAAATATACAAGGAGCTGTAGAGGAGCTGTTTGGGAGCTGTTTTCAAACATGCATTAATTACAAGCGACGGCTGAGTTGGAAGGTAGAACTTGACTTCTAACCCTAAAGTCTCGAGTTCGGATCAATGTAAATTCTGTAGGATGTTCCTAAGTCAGTTGTTTGGGAGCATTTTTGGAGCTGCATAGAAGCTGTTTGGGAATTGTTTGGGAACTGTTTTAAAACAATATGTATTATTTACAAGCGACGGCTGAGTTGGAAGGTAGAACGCGACTACTAACCCTAAAGTCTCGAGTTCGGATCCGGAGACTATTTTGTAGGATGTCCCTGAGTCCACTCAGCTTTAATGAGTACCTGACTTACTTTACGGATAAAAAAATTCGGCTGTGCATAGTGCTGAACACACTAACCCTTCATATAATGAGACTACGAAAGGAGAAAAAAGTTTACGCGACCTAACCCACGAGTCAGCAAATTCGAAAAGGAAACTTGATTAGAATACCCAGGTAAATACCGACTTTTGAATAACAAGTTTCTAATATACACGCAAAACTTCGAAGTTAGTTTTTCTTAGGAGACGTAACATCTAACCTTTTCACAGCTATATTAGGCTAAAATTAAAAAGGCTACATTTAAATGTGAGAAAAAAAATCTTTCTGCTAATATAGCCTACACGAATCTTATCTATTTTATCTAAGAGTTTGATTTTTATGAGAGATCGTGAGAATTGTCTGCAAAAATAGCAGCAAGCAGACAATGGATAAAGTATATTCTTTTACTTAAAACGTTAGTGTCGTAGTTGTTGGGATGGCTTATCATTAAGTTATATTTCTTTATATGGAGTGGTGGCGATGTTGAGAAATACTACACAACACTACGCGCAGTTTTTTCTCTATTCCTATTTCATGTTCAACTTTTGCAAAGTTGTTTGAATGAGGATCCCCGTCATCCTTTATATATAGTTTGTAATTTGAATGCGTTTGGGCATGCTCAAGGATTTTCTCAATCCCCCCTCTCATGTAATACGTGAGTTATGCAACCTTGTGTTTTTATGATTCTAACACTTTAACGTTTACACCACCGTATGTCCCCCAATTTTGATCTGGTTAAAATGCCACTAGTTACCTGTGAGTGTCCACCTGTTCTCTCTGTAGGTGTAGAGTGGGCCGCCACTGTCACCCTGGGGAAGAGAGAGGCGTCAACTCTACAACATCAGAACAACCTTGTTTCAACAACATCAACATAACTGACATAAGTAAACATTTCGTAAGAAAACATCCTTGTTCAACAACAACAATATAATTGACACAACTAAAACATTTCGTAAGGAAACATCCTTGTTCAACAACATCAATATGTTTAAGAAAAATAAAATATCTTGCAAAAAAAAGCAAAAATAAAAAAAAAACTAACAGAACAAACCAGAAGAAATAAAACTGATTTGGTTATTATGTTATTATTACATACAATAAAAGTACTAAAAGTCTTCTAAAAGTGTACTAAAATACTAAAAGAGTACAGTGTACTAAACGTTTACTCTCTCTCTCTCTCTCTCTCTCTATACGGAAACCGGCTCAGGAGGTAGACTCCCATTCGCCAGGCAGGCCTCAGTGTAGCAAACTCCGACACATGGTGGCAGTAACAAGTCGTACGTCGGTCGCTTCTCCGTCGGCTCTCACCGGGCTTTCCTTCCCCACCCACCAGCCGCGGGACGTCGTCCAACCGTCTGGTACCCAGCTTGATAGTGTAGGGCATTCGGCCAGATCAAAAGCCTCTAGCTGCTGTTAACTACCCTAGCCATTCCGCACCCACTAGGGGGGTCATGAGCTTGGTCCGACTAATGACACTCTTCCGAAGCCACGTCAAGGCCGCAGTTTAAAGTCAAAATATCTGGTTAGGGTCGAGAGCAGACATCTTTTGGTTCCCGGCAGTCTTGCACCTCACCTCCCCACGCTATAATGTAGGGGAATTGGGAGTCCGACAAACCAGGCTCTTCGGAACTAAACGTTTACTAAAAGTGTTCTTTAAGTGTACCAAAAGTGTACCAAAAAGCGTACCTGGCATGAGTCGACACCTCCCTCAGGTAAACCAGCACACAACATCCTCAAGGTGATGGAGCCAGCACCGTACCTGTCGATGCAGGTTTGTCTGGATTTGATTGGCTTGGAGACTTGGTGGAGTCTGTAGGGTGAGGTTCCACCTGGAGAGAGACAAAAGTAGTTCGTTTTGTTTGGTTTTTATATTGCGTGCACACAGGCAAAGTACAAAACGTAAAACATAATAAAAAGTCTTAATGGAATGGCTTTTAAGTACGAAAAGCTAAAAATCCCAATTGAATTGATTTTAAGCTGAATATACAGATGTATAGTACAAAATGTAAAACATACTAAAAAATCGAAATTGAATTGGATTTTAAGCTGCATACACAAAACTATAGTACAAAATGTAAAACTTACTAAAAATATTCTGTAGGGCTTATAAAAGTTTAAATAAGATTAAGAAACTTTAAAGAAATTCGAACAATAGCTATGCCAGCTAAATCCCATCAATGTGATAAAAGTCAGCACGTTTTGTCTGTTTATAAATAAGTGGATATGTTGTTTTGAAATGAAATTATAGAATTAAAATGTAAAATGTTGTTTTTTTACCTGGTGAAGTACTGACTGATTTCGACAGAACGGGTTATTTTAAAATTCGACACTTTGGTTTAGGCACAGTTATTTTCAAATTTTGGCATTTCCGGTTCCTTCAGTACGGTACAATATTTCACTCACCAGCGGTAAGAGTTCCCCATCCAGCGACGATGGCTTTTTCGCCCTCGTTCCAGCCCTCGTTGGGCAGGCAGACGGCGGAGATGTAGGAGTTGGTGGGGAGGGCGGTGGAGACACGGAAGATGGCAATGTCGTAGTCCAAGGTCCAGTCGTTGTATTGGCTGGAAGATACAGGTAGAGGAAGGATTGAAGGATACGTTCATACATTTACCTTTAGTCGTTGTATTGGCTGGGAGATTGGTAGAGAACAGTCAGGTGATAAAAAAACAAAATGGGAGATTTGAAAGTAACATGACGCCAATTATTAACACACCTGTGACCAACACACCTGTGACCAACACACCTGTGATTAACACACCTGTGATAACTCACATGTGACCAATACACATGTGGTTTATATTACAACACCTGTGACCTAATGACCAGTGGCCAACACACCTGTGGTCTATATTACTACACACCTGTGACCAACACACCTGTGGTCTATATCACTACACACCTGTGACCAACACACCTGTGACCAACACACCTGTGGTCTATATCACTACACACCTGTGACCAACACACCTGTGACCAACACACCTGTGGTCTATATCACTACACACCTGTGACCAACACACCTGTAACCAACACACCTGTAACCAACACACCTTTAACCAACACACCTGTGACCAACTCACCTGTGAACGGTTAGACTAGAAAAGCTGATGATGACTCTGTGTGGTTGTGTGGTTGCAGCTCTGTCGTAGATACCACAGTGGGCCACGTACCTGGAGGCTTGAAGGTTGCTGTGGTAAACACATTTTAATTTATTAGCTACAGTCCCTCACTTCAAGATATATTTATCAGGCCTTAATCTCTCTAAAAATCATACTGACTAATACACAACAATTATACCGGTAACTAGTAAAGTAAACCCAAACAAAAGAAGACTTACGTGGTGCAGTGAGCGGCTGTGATCAAAAAATATTGACCGGCCAAGTTCTTGACCAAGTTAGCTCCACACATGTGGGAGTTTGGTGAGGTGGATGATCTCAAACTGCACTGTGGGGGTGAGAAAGAAGTTTCAATAACAATAAGAGGTCTACCAACATATATATATATATATATATATATATATATATATATATATATATATATATATATATATATATATATATAGTTCTGATAATTAATAATGATGCACACACAATTATCTTTAATGTAATGACTGTCGTCTGTTTACATTTATATGATATATTTCTAACAAAACTACGAACAACTTACGATAGCTGGCCAGGAGTATGGGACAGCCTCTTGACCACCGACGATCTTGTTGACCAATGAAAGCTCAGACACACCGTTTCCGGCAACCAGAGGGCGTTGGCCACATCCGGCTGCGTCAATTTTCTCATAACGGCTGAAAAAGTATTTGAAACAATTATATTACAGAGAATTACATTTAAAATGATATCATTGTAGCAAGGAAACTGGTATATTTCCATCATTTAATTTAGCAATAAAGTAAAAAAAAACTTTACTTGACTCTGGTAAAGATTTCATGGGCTTGACGCAAAGATGGCCTAGCCTGGGCTGGGAAAGATAAAACAAGTTTGATATAAGACGAAGAGTTGTGATGTTTTTCTTATTGAGTTTAAACTGATATCATTCTACGTACAACTCTCTTTTTCATTCTCTCATTCTCTCTCTCTCTCTCTCTATCATTCTCTCTCTTTCTCTCTCTATCTCTCTCTCTGTCGTTATTGCTGGCTCAAGGTAAAAACACACACATTTCTCTCCCCAGTGTGTCTAGCTACTATAACCTTAAATTTTCCACTACGTATTTGTACTCCCCCACCACATGGTATCGCACTCTCTGGCTAGAATGTAAGAACCAGGGTTTCAAACCTATGCTTGACAGGTTAGCTAGCACATGTTCTACCACTACACCAACCCGTTCCTTTATATACTAGACGACACAGTTTCCCATTGGAAAACGTTCTGTCGTCTACTCCAAACCACACAACTCACCCCACAAAAAGACCCGCACACTCCTATCCCATTAATTCACACACAAAACTAACATCCACCCCCTACTTAACTCACGCTAATATAGTGTCTCTTTAAACATTTCATTAGCAATTGTAATAGCTAACATTTTTAAATCAAATGTCTACATTCATATAATAAGAACATTTTTGAACTATTATTATAACAGTGTTGATCTCGAAGACTGTGTGTGTATGTATGTGTGTGTGTATACATTTTTTCTTTTTTACTTTTGAGTAGAGTTTTTCTATTTAATGGCTTGATGATACATTGTTAAATATTTAATGAACCTGTTGACCTAACCAACCCTCCGGTACATGTGTCTTTATTCTTCTTCTTCGTTTTTAATTTTTAATTTTGGAAGGGATTCCCTCAACACACTATTAAATAATGCGTGTCAACTTGTTATGAGCCATATAGACCGTTGATTCCGATTTCACTCTGGATTTCATTTTGGGATTTGCTTCCATAGCTTTTGTCCAACAAAGAACAAACTACTATCCCCAGCTCCTCATCTGCCCTGGAGATTCGAACTCGAGACGTTTGATTTAGCAACGATGAGCTTTGCCGACTCGACCAAGCCGACTCCTTGTACGTATGTCATATCTAAACATCATCCCCCCCTCTCCAAAATCAAACTAAAGTTTCAACCCACATTACCATATCGTTGATTAGTTTACATTCGATCCATTACAAGTCATACAGAAATGATTTTCAATAGGTTAAAACATTTCTGACTAATGAAAAACACTGAAACAAAGAAGTAACTCTCTTTCAAAAAGGCTACAAACTTATTTTAAACTGCTGTCTAAACCGATTTACAACTACTGACTAGTGTTTAAAACACCCGGACATGCAACAACAACCACACGACCATCTAAAGTATTGTCCATGGTACCAGACTAATGAACAGACAACATACCTAGCGCCACCAAGACTAGAGCCAGTAAAATCTTCATATTGGCAGATTTTACCTGAGTGTGTAGACCACACCTGGGACTTCTCTTGTCTTTTATAGCCTGTCATGTTATCTGAGGTGTGTCCTTCAATGGGAATAATTTTTTAAAGTTTTGATTATAATCTTAATCAACATCACGAATAACCTCTAATTAGGTTAATTATCTTCGTGTGAATTAACATGTATTTTATTATATATATATATATATATATATATATATATATATATATATATATATATATATATATATATATATATATATATATATATATATATATACCAGCAGTATACCCGTGTTCCGCCACGGTGAATCTTCTTTAAATGTACCAACTTAAGAACAGATCACAAGAAAACACAAACACAACCAAAACACAAACACAACACACACAAAAAAAACACAACCACAACACGAACAAAACCAAAACAAAACACAAAAACAACACAATACACAAAAAAACACAACATAACAAAAACACAACACCAACACACACAAACACAAACAGAACACAAACCTAATACAAACACAACACAAACACAACACAACACACGCATATATGTATATGTATATGTATATATATATATATATATATATATATATATATATATATATATATATATATATATATATATATATACATATATATATAATATATACAGTTCAATTATATATGTTTGTATGTCGTGTATTACAAAGGAATATAAGTAAAAACGATACTGCTTTATTCGGGAAAGGGAATTCCCGCAGATTATTATTTGTGTCTTTTTTTGCGCATTCGATTTGTTTGTCCTTTTTTGCGCACGAAGGTGAATTCCTATTTGTCGGTCACATCAGAAAGCTCTTTTATAGACACCTGCACCAAATTACAAGAAGATACACCATTTGATATAATACTAGCCGTCCCGGATTGTGTTGTGTTTGTGTTTGTGTTGTGTTTCTGTTGTGTTGTGTTTGTGTTGTGTTGCTTTGTGTTTGTGTTGGTGTTTGTGTTGGTGTTTGTGTTGGTGTTTGTATTGGTGTTTGTGTTGGTGTTTGTGTTGGTGTTTGTGTTTTGTTTGTGTTGTGTTTGTGTTGTGTTTGTGTTGTGTTTGTGTTGTGTTTGTGTTGTGTTTGTGCTGTGTTTGTGTTGTGTTTGTGTTGTGTTTGTGTTGTGTTTGTGTTGTGTTTGTGTTGTGTTTGTGCTGTGTTTGTGTTGTGTTTGTGTTGTGTTTGTGTTGTGTTTGTGCTGTGTTCGTGTTGTGTTTGTGTTGTGTTTGTGTTGTGTTTGTTTTGTGTTTGTGTTGTGTTTGTGTTGTGTTTGTGTTGTGTTTGTGTTGTGTTTGTTTTGTGTTTGTGTTGTGTTTGTGTTTGTGTTGTGTTTGTGTTGTGTTTGTGTTGTGTTTGTGTTGTGTTTGTGTTGTGTTTGTGTTGTGTTTGTGTTTGTGTTTGTGTTTGTGTTGTGTTGTGTTTGTGTTTGTGTTGTGTTTGTGTTGTGTTGTGTTGTGTTTGTGTTGTGTTTGTGTTGTGTTTGTGTTTGTGTTGTGTTTGTGATTTTGTTGTGTTTGTGTTGTGTTTGTGTTGTGTTTGTGTTGTGTTTGTGTTGTGTTTGTGTTGTGTTTGTGTTGTATTTGTGTTGTGTTTGTGTTTGTGTTTGTGTTGTGTTTGTGTTGTGTTTGTGTTGTGTTGTGTTGTGTTGTGTTTGTGTTGTGTTTGTGTTGTGTTTGTGTTGTGTTTGTGTTACGTTATGTTTATGTTGTGTTTATGTTGTGTTTATGTTGTGTTTGTGTTGTTTTTGTGTTGTGTTTGTGTTGTGTTTGTGTTGTGTTTGTGTTGTGTTTGTGTTGTGTTTGTGTTGTGTTTGTGTTGTGTTTGTGTTGTGTTTGTGTTGTGTTTGTGTTGTGTTTGTGTTGTGTTTGTGTTTGTGTTTGTGTTGTGTTTGTGTTGTGTTTGTGTTGTGTTTGTGTTGTGTTTGTGTTGTGTTTGTGTTGTTTTTGTGTTGTGTTTGTGTTGTGTTTGTGTTGTGTTTGTGTTGTGTTTGTGTTGTGTTTGTGTTGTGTTTGTGTTGTGTTTGTGTTGTGTTTGTGTTGTGTTTGTGTTGTGTTGGTGTTGTGTTTGTGTTGTGTTTGTGTTGTGTTTGTGTTGTGTTTGTGTTGTGTTTGTGTTGTGTTTGTGTTGTGTTTGTGTTGTGTTTGTGTTGTGTTTGTGTTGTGTTTGTGTTTGTGTTTGAGTTTGTGTTTGAGTTTGTGTTGTGTTTTGTGTTTTGTTTGGGTTTTGGTTTGGATTTGGTTTGTTTTCGTTTGCTTTTTTGTTTTTTCTTTGTGTTTCTTTGTGTTTGTATTGGTGTTTGTGGTTGTAGTTGGGTTTGTTTTTAAGTTTTTGTTTTTGTTTTCGTTTGTATTTGTAATTGTGTTTGCGTTATGTTTGCTGTTTTTTTGTTTTGGTTTTGGTTCGTTGTGGTTAGGGTGGGCAATGTCGAATATATGATGATTAATAAACACACTAGTTTTTTCACAGAGGCCACAGCAGGGCTTGGCCGGGACGGCTAGTATGTATATATATATATATATATATATATATATATATATATATATATATATATATATATATATATATATATATATATATATATATATATATATATATATGTATATATATCGCATCATCAGCCTCTAAATTTATAAATGCTTTTTACTTTAGTGCATTGACTTTTATATCCATGCAATCTTGGTTCAGCAGTTTTTGTATAATATTTTTTTAAGATATTGTAAGTGCAGTACTTTATACAATATTAATACAGTCATAGTAAATACGAAATTAGGTTAATACTACATCGACCTCTTTGACTGATTTTATGTTTTTTTTCTCCCTGTGTTTAATGTTAGCAAAATTATTCAATTAAAAAATGATTAATTTTTTTCCAAAAACTTTTGTACTGTAATAAAACGCAGATGTTTCATATGCTGCAAACTCCCTGACTCACGTTTTTCAGCTATTATGTTTCCATTTTTCCGAACTAATTCTTGCCTAAAAATCGTGCATTGGTTTATCTTTTTGCACCAACAGCAAGGATACGAACTGTAATTTAAACCTACTGTCAACCTTGATTAAAAATAAAATGGGCCCTACATAATTATACACCAGATTGATGTCATAAAACTAGTTGGCACCAAAAGCATATCTTTAATGCGGTTCAAATTAGAATGTTATAGTTTAATTCGGTTTAAGCATGTCTTAGTCAATTTTAAAACTTAATTAATATAAAAAAGTAATATATATTAGCTGATGTTCATTGACGATCCTTTTGTGTATGTGTGCGTGTGTTTATGGGGAGAGGGGGGGGGGAGAAGTAGCTGTAGCGGTCGGGTTATGAAGATCAGATTGTTCTTAACATCTCCACGTCTGTTAAAATAATCTTAAAAAAAAAATATTATTATTTGGGTGGGCTTTTAGAGTTCCAAAAATACAATGTCTTTCTCTACCCACCATGTAGCTTTTGGGCAGTTGTTGAGTGCACTCTCGCGGAGGTTTCTGTCTCTTTTATAAATAAAGGAGGGATGGGGCTACGGGGGTGGACTTAGGGCGCCCCCTACTCACTGGAGCCCGCCGATTGACCGTGGTCAGAGGAAGTACTCAAGTCAACGGTCAAACTAAAACTGTGTGTCCATTAGCGCACTGGGATACCTTATGAGCACTATACGCTTACATTTACTTTAAAGAGCGCCCTACACTGGGGATGCGGTAGCCTACTACTTACGATGACTAGTAGTAATACATTATTTTAACGGCATTTCCTCCAAGACAATTAAAAATTAAGTATTGCAAATTAAGTATTACAAATTAAGTATTACTTCTCAATCTGTAATGCGCAATTAAGGCAGATCACTATTTACGATTTTAGCCTGCTATTCGTTTTGGATTTGCTTTCATAGGCTTTGTCCAACCAAGAACAAACTGTACGGCAGCATTTTTTAAAATTTTGGAGTTGTCTCTCATAGATGAGTGGCTGTCCCCAGGTATCGAACTTCATCTGCAGGGGGTTCGAACTCGAGAATTTTCGGTTTGGCGGCAATGTGATTTAACAACCCGACCACACCGGCTCCCCCAAATCTTCATATAAATACTTAAAGAAATCATTTCAAATTCTAATCTTAATCTCTACGCATTGATCATCCGTAATTACAAAACATGATAATCACTGTAATTCATTACTAACACACAAGTAAACAATTTTAAAAAAGTCTTTTTCTTTAATCAACATTTTAATTTCATCATTAACACAAAAGCAATGTGATTTGTAAATAATCTTAGAAATCTTCTTTATCAATATTTTGATTTAATCATCACTACATGAATAATGTGATTTGTAAATAATCTTAGAAAAACTTCTCTTTGGTTTAGCCCGAGTCACCTAGGCTGATGCTAACCTAAACGGTGACGCTCTGTGGTGTCTAACTTTAACCGTTGAGGATTGGAGCCAGCCAGTTCTTGAGCTCAATGACGTCAGTGTAGACACCTGGTCTGCCGGCTTCAGCGCAGCCGTAGCCCCAGCTTACGATACCTGGGGAACAAATATACAAGAAGCTGTATAGAAGCTGTTTAGGAGCTTTTTCAAGCAATATGGATTATTTACTCAGGATGGCTGAGTTGGACAGTAGAGCGCGACTTCTAACCAGAAAGTATCGAGTTTGAATCCGGGTAGCTCTGTCTGACTCTGATTATGGATAGCTTACATTACCGTTTTAAAACAGAAACTATTTTTATACTATAAAATAAATAAAATAAATTATATATAAAGTATAATACATTATGTTAATTTATAATAGTTTAAAATAAATAAATGTCTATTAACAAGCGAATTGTATTGCAACTTATTTGAATTATTTTCAAGTGTAGAGAAAGAAAAAGGACATATTTGTTTAAAATACGTAATCAGAAAAAAAGTAGCTTTATTTGTAGGAATAAATTGGTTTGTAGTTTTAAACAATAATTATTTTTTTTTACAACTTAATTAAATTGCATTGATTAAGACAGGGGCGAAACTACAGTGCCACCAGACC